AATCAGAAAAAGTGTAAAATGTAAACCCAACACTCATTTTGCATGGTTTTCAAAACAACTCCTCGGGCTTAAAGTTTTTTTTTGAAAAACCCATACCATGGGCATACTGAAAAAAAAAAAAAAAAGGAATTAGAACATGGATTCTGTCCAGGCTTCCACTTTGCAATTGCTTCAAAACAGCTTGTGAGATTGTTGTGAATTGGTAATGGGAGTGCACTGATGTTGGTAGCCTGTTCCAGGCTCCAAGGTAGTCGCATTCATGAAATTGATAAAGCGCACTATCTGATAGCCTCTACCTTTTCCCCAGATCACGCACTTATATTTTCACGTGCCTTTAACTTATGCATCATCCCTGCTATCCAAAAGCCTGGAAAAGGCTATGATGTTCAAGACTCTATTGCCAGTTGTATTACAACATGGTTGCTGTCCTGTCAGCTCACATTTTAGGTGCTTTAACCCTTTAAGCCCCAATGTCCACATATAAACTCTCCATACTGATCTTCATACATTTCTTAAAAGAAGTAGTTGAGAGAGTTTGATAACAGATCAAAGCCTTTTCTCTTTAGTGATCATTTTATTAATTCTCATAAGCATTTCTCTTGGTAACATATGGATATTGTTAGGAGAAAATTGATGATGGCCACTATTGGGACTTAAAAGGTTAAAGGAACATGTAACTCCTGTATGATTATGAAACAGACCAATCTAAGTTCAAAAAGCCATTTGGTATTATTGTTTTGCAAACTTTATCATGAGTTTAGTTGAAATTAATAAATATCCTTGCAGGGATTTAAACATTGCTTGCACGGTCCATGTGTTCTTTTTTCTACTCAAGTACATGTATGATCAAAGCTGTGTTGTTTGAAGATTAACTAGCATTGATCATGAGGGTTAGTCGACCACAAGATTCATATCAGTTTACAATATTAACCCAGGATTAAAACTAATCAGGCTTTAAACAAATTGGCTGAGGGCTTCAAACTTCTTACAAGGAAAATCCATGGCATTTTGCCCTTAGTTACAGTCCTGGAGTGGTATAAATAACACCCATGGCTGGACCATGAGGTGTCTCAAGGGTACTGTCAGAAATTTGCCTACCATCTCAAAGGGGCCAAAGATATACGACAAACAAAGAAACTGAGGCCATTTATTAGACAATCAAACAATGGAGATCATTAATGAGAAAATTACTAGCTTAAGTTATAGATAAATGAGCCACAGGCTACTTTTCCTTTACGTAGAGGATCATGGATGCACAATGTAACAGCTGAAAGCTTAATACAGGTAGTCTCCCTTACAGTGGTTTTTAATGTCATCACACAACGCTACTCCCTCTTTGGGGTGAAGCATTTGCATGACAACCCTAAAATGCTGGAGGGGAGGGGGGGCATTACTCAATAATGTTCTAAATGGGGAGGCTCCCCTCAGGTCAGAAGCATATTTGCCTCAGGTCCAATCCCCTTACCCTTTTATATACCATTTTTGACAGAAGAGGCTCTCCTTCTCGTATACCTTCTATTGGCAAAATGGTTCCCTGTTCACATACCTACAATCAAGGACACTCAACTTGGGTCACACTGCTCTGATACCTGTCTTTCTCTCTTCCAGTGCTGTTTCGTAATGGTTTTTCAGTGGAATTGTCCAAGTTCGAGGCCAACATTGAAAGGGACAGGGAAAAGGAGGTTGAGCACAACATGTCAACGATATTCCTTCAATAACTGACCCCAGTTCTAATTTCACAGATTGTAGTTAAGAACTTTGCATCCCTCTGCTGTATACGTAAAATACACACTCTTCACAAAACAAAAACATTTTTATCTACTTTTGTACAGGCACAAATTGCATCTGTTAGCCCTTCTGAGCCTTTACATATACCTTACATATACCTGAAACCTGAAAAGACCCAACCCCATCAGCCATCTACTTCAAAACTTTCTGACAACCTTGTATAGGCCATTACAGTGAATTCCCCCCTACCCCTTGTAAAAAAAGCAAAGTTGACAGACAAAGAACAGTTGTAGAAATTTGAAGTCAAGATACTTCTGAATCACCCACAAAAAGAGCAAAAAAATGTTTAATTCACAGGTGGGATGCAAATCACAGTTTACACAACAGATAAATAACCAGTTACTTCAACCACCTGTTACAAAGTAGTCCACATGTCAAAAACTATAATTGCTATATAAAATATTTACTCTTTCAATCTAGAAAACTATCTTGTGTTAAAATTCTGAGCGATCGTGTCCACCGAAATCGCTTCTTGTCCTTGTGTTCCTAGAGGCTCTCCGGGTTTTGATATTGGAGAGAATTTCATAAGCTTCTTGAATTTCCATGAATTTCTGTTGCGCTTCCTCCTTATTGTTTTGATTTCTATCTGGATGCCATTTCACGGCAAGTTTTTTGTATCGTTTTTTGATTTCTTCTTGAGTTGCATCTTCTGTAAGTCCAAGTATGCGATATGCATTTTTCTCTCCTCTGGGATCCAGAGCTTTAACGAACTCCTCGTAGACATTGTCCCAGCCACTTCTCTGCCCCTCTTCGTACAAACCCCAAAATACATCTTTGAACTCAAGCCACACCGGAGACTGGAAGAAATGGTTGACAGCATCGCGTAGTTTCACTGTTTCGCCATCCTCTGTTGTAACTTGTGCATTGAAGTAAAGGAATGAGCTCCACAGACAGGAAATAACGACGACTCCAACAGCGAGGTACTGAACTCGCTTGCACAGTGTCTTCGTAGGTGCTTTCTCTTTACGAAATTCGCGATGGTTTTGAAAACATATCGCTGCAATCAAAGCCACATACATATTCCCAGGTTCGTCACTGGTAAGAAAAGCTAAGGCAGCGTAGGAGAGAAAAGCTCCTACCAAAGGATACTTGAAATCGCCTCTTTCCCGGCCGATATTTCCAACAAGATACACGCCAACCGCTACGCCAAGCGGTACTAGCAACGAAGGAAGCCATTTTGCTTCCTCTGGTATGGCTAGTCGAACAAGAATACCGTAAAAATATCCAACTAGCATTTGCCCAGCAAATCTAGTCACGCTAAAAGCTGGCTCCTTGCGGAGTCTTATTTTTCGTTTTAGCTCTTCAACGAAGAAAGCCTCGTCGTTAGCATCGTCCACGTACTCTGGAATTCGCCAAAGATCACGAAACCAACCCAGACCAAAGAAGCCACCGATCGTTGACCACCAGATAAAGGCTTGAATATCTCGGCCGAGATAAAAATGATGTAAACCGAACCATCCCCACATCAACCATATAACATAAGTTACTAACAGGCTCTTTCGATTTTTCGCCATACTAACTTTCCAGGTTGTGCAGTAATGTGGTAGTGTGACAGATCAGATTTCCACAGATGTTTACACTTATTCACCTGGCGAGATTTGATTGGTTAATTTTTTTGTAACATGGCCGTCAATGACTGGTTCAGACACGAGACAGTCAGAAAAGGTATCCAGGGTGGGGTGGGAGGGTAGGATAAGTACAGTTGTAGAAGTTCAGGTTTTTGACTCATCCTTTTCCAGATTATTTGAAACAGAGGAAGTCAACTGTTTTGGTTAGTAATCGTTGTATACGTTCATTGATATGGAAAATATCTGAAAGCTAGGTTAAAATGGTTAAAAATAAAATCTGAAAATGGGTTAACGGTCTTCTGTGAAGGATTTTTTTAGTACGTAGTTATTTGGATAAATAACTTACCCTTGAGCTTCAAATTTTCTTAATTTACGCGAACAACTCGGTCGATATATCAAAGTCGTGATCAGTTGTGACCGGAACCGGAAATCAAAATCTATTAGTAATCCCATGAGGCTTCATGAGCTCATCCTCTTCCTCCATTGCAAGTAGGTTGACATGTCCTGAAAAAAGTGATTCGAAGTTCATCAAAATAGCAACGATATGAGTAGCTATAGATCTCTATTGTTGGAGCTATCCAATAGCTTAACAACTGCAGACCTGCGGGAGCTGAAATTCCTGTGTGGAGATGTTATTCCTGCCGGTAGATTGGAGAGAATCAACCAGGGATTTGAACTTTTTAGCGCTTTGGAACAACTCAACATGCTGTCAGTAGAGAACAGAGATTTCTTAGCATCCAAACTGATTGCTGTTAACAGAAATGATTTAAGAAACAAACTCTTAGGAATACAAGGTAAGTTATAGCTCAAGTCAGTAATCTCTAGAGAATTTTCTATTATGGGAGATAGAAGCAAAGTTCCTATGGGATGAGCAGTCTGCTCATTATTAAGCTGTCAAGGAACTACAGTTATAGGCCATGATCGATTGTGCATTAATTTAATAAGCTTATAAACACGTTGAGATTTTCCTTAATGCTTTATTAAATCCATAAAATTTATCACATTGAAACGTCTTTTGATCCAGCTGATTTGATCAATGTTAGTTTAAGTACTTCATAATATATTATAATGGCAAAGAATCAATTTTGAACATAGAAGTAATGTCCAGATAGGGGTACATGTACACTTTCTGAAATTTTTATATTTCATAGCTTAGGAAGAACTGTACCCAGTTACGTTGAAGACTCCAGGGTCTATGTTATTCACAAATGATTGCAAACCAGAGGGCATATTCTTACTGAAAAACTCCTGGAAATTGTGTGTATGGAAATAATGACCTGTCTCTTTATTCATTTAATGCCCAACTCCTTCATGAAAAGATTTCATTTATGCCATCTAACTGGGATTTGTCTGTGAGTCTGCTGGAAACCTGTCAATCTTCTTCTCAGGGTTCGCAAATACGCCAAATTTGGCATATTTTACGCCAAAATTTTTCACATGACTCCACTGAGGTTACGGAGGGAGTCACTTCGACTCCAGAAATTTTCGGTAACGAACACAGTTTTGTCCTTGCCTTTTTCGCAACAAATACAATTTACTTTAATTGTAAACGTTGTAAACCTTAATTAAATCATCGAAATTAAAGAATTATACTGCACAACAAAACAGGAAGAGGGTAAATTACGATCAAAGTTTACTCAATCGCCGCCATCATGGATTTGAGCTTTCCAGGTCAGTGGACCGCCACAGCTACTTCGTGTATCCCTCATGATAGTGTATACATGCCAGGACCACATGCTGGAAAGTCTGATACTTGACTCCAAATATTCCAAATTGACTCCAAAATTTGTGAAGCAGAAGTCACACAGACTCCACTCATCAGTAAAATTTGTAAACCCTGATCTTCTGGTCTCCCAATACAGGCCACTTAATCTCCCGGGTAAAAATGTCTCTCAGTTTTTCTTTACTATAGAATGTGGAATTTAACCTCAAATTTTGATGAAGTAGGATTTTGTTGTTCTTTTTATCTAAACACCCTCTCTGCTAGCAGATGCCTCTTCAACCCTTGTCAGCAATTGAAAATAATTAGTTCAGTGTTATTATAGATTTATTAAAATTATTGTTGTTTTAAATATTTTTCCTTTTCCTCTCGCAGGGGATCCAAATGCTGCAGGTCTAGTACCAAGTAAGTACACACAATGACTGATACTTGATGCAATTAGACCCAGTATTGAGCTTCACATGTGACAAACCTAATACAAATGCTCAAAACAGGTGTTTCTTGGTCTTGTGGAAACCATTGTTGGTTCACCTTTTTTTGTTGTTTGGGTCTTGTTCAATGTCTTTTCAATCCTTTGTATTACATCATTTGCTGTTTGCGACCAACTGCAACACCAAAAAACTACCCCAGAATCTATACTCTTACTCAATAACAATTAGTTTTGAAATTCAATGTGGTTTGCACAGGCCTTGAAAAGTCCTTAAAAAGCGAAAAAAAAAATGGAAAATTATGGGATATCATTGAAGAGTCCTTGAATATTCTTGAAATGCTCCTTGAATAAAAATAACCATGATAAGCTTCATTAAAAACAGTACTTGGTGCAAAGGAAAGATTTGAAAGCACGGAAATATGCAAATTTTCTTGGTGATCATGAAAGAATTTTTTTTGTTTTCGGTGTTTCCAGCACAGTTCATTTTCCGTTATTTGAAGTACCCTAGGAAACTTGTCTTCCGTGGGGAGGGTATTGCAATAACTTCCTTCCACCTACGCATGTGAAAGGTCTTGACACTTTACGTGGAAAGGAAGTATGCATATTTCACTATTGTTTGTCATTCTGTGTCAAATTACAGGAAAGCAAAGTCCTTGAAAAAATGATTTTGGTCCTTGAAAAGTCTTTGATTTTTTCCCTTCAAAATTCTGTATGTACTATGGTTCCGTGTTTGGCTGGGTAGTGATGTGGGAGCCTGGGTGAGTTGGGGAGGGGAAGAGTACAGGAGACAGGAAAGGAAAGATCAGGAGATGGGAGTTCTTAAAGGGTGGGAAGTGGGAGAAATAGGAGGAAAAAATTAAAAAACAAAGCCAGGAAAATATGGGCTGGAGCCAGGACTGCAAGGTGTAACAGCCCAGGATCAGGAAGGCTCGGACCGCTTGTCCTTCCCCCTCTGTTAAGTGCAATTTCAAGTCCTGCCATAAGCTCAACTTGATGCTCTGACAAATAAGAAATTTGGAGGAAAAGCTGCCTTGCTAGTTTTGATAATTGTTATTTTCCTCCATCTTTGCTACATTGCAGCTGGTACAGCAGTGATGTTACCATCAAATGTAAACAACAGGCAAGTGTCTGACACCTTACTGCATGATCTTGTGGAAGACCTTAGTACCAGCTGGAAAATGCTTGGTCGACGCCTTGGTATTCCCGAGGGGGCCATTACAAATATTGACATGGAACATCGTCGTGTAGTAGAAAAGGGTATGGCAATGTTTGCTGAATGGAAAAGACGGAGAGGTGAAGGTGCCACAGTGGGGGTTTTAAGAGAAGCCCTGGACAAAACAGGAAGGCGTGATCTGTCAGAAAGAGTTAGAGGTACATGAAAAGTAAATCTTTGGTTTTTTATCTGTAACATTTTTTGATGATATATGGACTTTTTCTTATAAGCTCTGCTGTTAATTTCTTCCAAACAACATTACTGACAAGTTTGAATAACTTACATCCACAACACCATTATCGCACATTGCCTTACCAAGAAAACAGCAAAAAATAAAATTTAAAATGGTGGTATGGAACCACAATATCTACATTTAACTGAAATATCATGTTTCACTCTAAACTTAAGAGTTAGTAGTCAGTGTTGACTTTAATACTTTTTTTGTGTACTAGATATCGTTCAGGCTGAACAGCAAGCTATGATGAATACCACTACAACAGGTTTGTTTTACATCTGACAAAAGTGCCCAGTGATCACTTTTGACTTACCTGTACTTTTGTGTTTGGGTGAAAAGGAATAGCCTGAATTTCATCTGATTACTTCGAGTCGTTATTACTCCCTCAGTAACATCTGAATCGACTGCCCGTTAATGCCGTCCAGTGACGTCACTACTCCTTAACCTTTGTTTTAATTCATGCAAAAAGTAAAACCCGATTTTCAAGTGGCAAACCGAGAAATATGGTTTGGAAATGTCTGCATGATACATAACTGCTTTATTTTTTCGATCATAATTCATGTTTAATGTTCAAACTATCAACTGCATGCAGTACAACTCTGAACCGGTTGTACTAAATTCTATAATCAAACTTGGTCACAATCACGCAATGAAATAAACACACACATGGAACACTTAGTTCAAAAACACAATGATTTGCTTTAATTGAAAAGAAGCTATTTGGTCCTTAACAAAGAAAAAAAAACAAGGAGACAAGAGAGAAAAGCTAACAGAATCGTTACACTTGACGGTAAAAATAGCAAGAAGGTCGAATTATAACATTGATCTCAGAAAACTTCGCGTAAACAAAATCACTGGCCACCGAAACCACAAAACCTCTAAATGAAAAACCTACTGACTCTCTGCAATGTTTCTTCATTCACAGTTCAATTTAGTATTCAGTTTCGTAAGGGCAATTTTGCTGTGTAAGATAAAGATTAAGCTTATCGAAATGTTTGAACTAAACGAAAGAATGCCAGGGATGCGATCTGCTGAATATTAAGCGTCAATCCCGCTAAAATTTTTCATAATTATACATAATTATGCGAATGTTTAGACAATCAACCAATCAAAATCACTACCCTGTTTTCAAGCAGTGAGTGACAGCACTGGACGGCATTAACGGCCCGTTGATTCAGATGCTGTTGAGAGGAGAAGACGACTTGAAGTAATCGGATGAATTTCAGACTAAAAAAAGGAAATGCTTGTTTTTGCACTAGCCCTATAATATGCAAGGATTTTTCAATTTTTGTTTCTTGGTTTATTGACTACAGCAATTCGCTTAACAGGTTCTCCAATAGAGGAAAGACAGCCATTTCCAAATTTAAATCCACTTAGGCCAGCTTTGCCAATTATAGCCCCAACAAGTACCCCAATAAGTACAGCTGCACATCGGCAGCCTCAACAGCCAGGTAGGGTCCCTGTGCCAGTGACTGCAAGTTTACGGGAGCCTCAGGAGCAAGCTGAGCCTGTGCATCATGCAGCTTCAAATTCCTCTGCCAGCACAACAGATCATTCTACTGGCTCAACAAGAATACCTCGCCCTCCTGGGGCTGTTATTACATTCTCAAGGTTTGAACAAAATTAATTTTAGCGGTGGATCTTGGGAGATGGTGCGGAAGGTGCACACCCCCCTCCCCCAAGATGACCTGCAGCTTTCTAATACAACTGGTACCATTCATGATTGATTAAGTGCTGCTACTCGAATAAGCGCTGTACCTTTACCGAAATTAATTTGAGAAGCAATGCTCTCAAATAAGCACTGCGGCGCTTATTTGGGTATTTACAAATTACCGTCCCACCTTTGTTAGGGCACTTGATATAAAGAGATCAAAACCATATCGTTTGAGAAATAAGACCTCGACCAACTCATGAGCTCTAAAGTTTACAGTAACCAGTTTGATCGGTAGGATAAGAGACAAAAAAGTAAATAATTGCTACAGGTGATATTATGTAACCCCAAAACAAGAGAAAGACAATTAACCAAAGGATGAAAACTGGTTGTCTAAATTTTGGTCTGGAAGTCTACATAATGTATCTTTCATCCTCCTGGGTCCTATCTGCTTGTATACCAGCATGTTAGGTGAGGTTAAAGATTTGCTTTTGAATCAATTTAGTCCCCAGCGCGTTGTTAAAATTACTAAAGCCTTATCAGCTTTAAGTTTGGGAATCTCCATCAGGTTGAGTGTTGTGCAATAATAGTAAGCTTCTGCAATAGGATGGCAAAGAGAAGAAGGCAGCAAAACTTTCTTGTGTGACAAAGAATGTTTTGAGTGTTTATTTTTATGTTTCACTCAACTTGGTGGCAGCTGACTCCCTGTTTGAATTATGTTAAATTTTGTGACACAGCTCCTTTAATGGTGGTACAACCAGGCAACCAATCCCTGAACAGGCCATAGCTGGAGGAGAAGTGGACGTGCATGATTCAGGACCAGGTACAGTAACAGATGCATTACATATTCTGCAGACTACCATGAATGACTCGCTTTAGAAAGCTGATTTTATTACTAGCTTGGAATAATCACCACTAAATCCTAGACAACTGTTACCGACACTGTACAAATGACTTATTGATGGTCTGAAGCAAAACTGACAGAAAATGACTGGAAAGCCGACAATTTTACTAACAATAAACGATTGTTTAATTGTGACAAAAGATGGATCGAAATGAACCATTGACATAGAGTCTTCTTAGCCATGACATCATGGCGTAACTGACAGACGGCCAATGACATTGGAACTTAAACCAGAGTTTAATACCATCAATTGACTTGATACAACTCACTTTGACTCCGAAAATGACTACTGCACAGGTTGTTGAAGTGCCAGTCACTGTCAACAACAGTCCTATTCAGTACTAAACTCACCCACACGATCATGCTCAACCTACTTATGAAATGACTCGTGGGTTCGAACCTTTCACAGTGAACCCAGAGCTGAAAGGAAAACTTCAATCTGATGGATGCTTCTTGGATCCTGAGAAGTATGATCCAGTGAAATTCCTAGGATCTGGAGGATATGCTAAGGTGAAGAAATACAGTGTGTGCATAGAGGATATTGAGGCCTTCTTAGAAGGGTTTATGCATTTTCCTAGTCTGAATTTCAAAACCCATTGTTTTATGTATTGAAGAGGAGGCCATGTTGCTGTTGCTATTTTACTATCGTTTGAGGATTTTCTCTGTCGCTGTTGCAGATTTAACTTATCTTTGTGTCGTTTGTTGCCATTTCCTGTCTTGTATCGCTGTTTCAAGGCCATATGTGTTGTGTGTTGAAAAATGTGAAAAGAATGCAGTATTCTTTAAATTATTCTGGTACATGGTTTTTGTCCACCGAAAGTTAAAATTACTCAATTTCCTGGTCGATTCTGTCTTACAGTTTTAATTTATAGACTCACTGAGGCCCTGCTTGATTTTGTGCAGAATTAGGCTAGTTTTCATTAGTTATGTGATTTCATAGGGATTATGCAATCCAGTGCAATTTAAGATCATAATTGGTAAGGGGAGGGATGTCTACAGGAAGACTTCCAAAAATGTAATTCTTCATTTGAAAATTCTTAGAATTTTAAGGGCAAACTGAGGCTTGATTTTCTTACAACAGGTCTATCTTGTGGTTGAAAAACGAACAGACAAGAAAATGGCTTGTAAGATGTGTGATCTAGGGGCTAATACCAGTGACACACAAAAGGTACAAAGTTGTAACTACAATTTTTAACAATATCATCGTTCTGTTTATAGTCAAGGCAATGCAAAAACTTTTTGTGTTCATTTTTCTTGTCCATGCCCATCTCTCGGGTATTTCTTGGATTTTAGTTTGCTGGTCTGAATATTAAGTTCTCTTGTCCAAAAAAATCCCTACTTAACTGCCCCCCCAGAGTAAGTAATTAGGCATGAAGTGAGATTTTCCGAGGGATTGAGTGAGTAAACGATAAAAATGGAAATGGTCCTTAATATTTTATGTTGGTAACCTGTAACAATCATCATTTGACTGGCAAACCCGAGGCTGATGGTGCACTCATCTACATCCCCCCCCCCTCCCCCTCAGCACCACCACCACCACCACCACAACCACCACTTTCTACTGGAGTGCTGTATGTGGTCAATGTTTGAGTCTGTGAATGAATCCTATGATGTTACCATTCAAATGAAAGCTACTGAGCAGTACCTTCCTGTGGTACTGTTTATTATGCTGTAAACGGTGGTTCTAACTTTTGAGTCTGTGGAAGAAATCCTCTGGTGTGACCATTCAAATGAAAGCTACTGAGCAGTACTTTCCTGTGGTTCTGTTCATTATGCTGTACAAGATGATTCTAACTTTTGAGTCTGTGGATGAAATCCTATGGTGTTACCATTCAAATGAAAGCTACTGAGCAGTACTTTCCTGTGGTACTGGTTATTATGCTGCACAAGGTGGTTCTAACTTTTGAGCTTGAGGACTAAATCCTGTTGTTTGACCATTCAAATGAAAGCTATTTGGCAGTTCCTTCACTTGGTACTACTTGTTTTTTTGTCATTTTCCCGAAATGAAATTTTAAAAATTGTGTTGCATTTTGACTTTTGTTACTTTTGGAGAAAGAATGAAGATTTTTTGATAAGGGAGTCGTAGATATGATTGTTGTCAAAAATGGTTTCTTTTTCTTTTTTGGTCTTAGCTGGTAAAGTCTATGGAAACTGAAGTCATGGCTCTAACTTCCTTAAAACATGAACACATTGTTGAGTTCTTTTTTGTGGAGCATATTCACAACACCGCTCTTCTGTTTCTGGAGTACATGGAAGGGGTAAGAGAATTGTAGTTAATCAATAATAATAAATTAGTATAGGTAATAGCATGATTTGTAGTGATATTTGGCATAAATACCACGAGTGATATTTCGAAATTGTTATACGTAATTTCACAAGCCGTTAGGCAAGTGAAATTTGAGACAATTTTGAAGTATCACGAGTTGTATTTATGCCAAATATCATGTACAAATCATGCTATTATTTGTTTATACTACTACCCACAAAAGGTTTGTAATTTTCACATGTAGGTGTTTCAAATTTAGTTGAAATACCACTACTCTAAGCCAATCAAATTGCAGAAATTTCTCATGTAGTAGTAAAATAGTTATTTCTATGGTTGCATTTCCATTGCTGTCCAATGCCACTTTACAACAATAACTGCTTTAAAAAATACACTGTTCTTAAATTTATAAATTAAGCTATGCAATAAAATTTACAATGTTGTTAAAATGAATAAAATAGATGAATAAAATCAGAAGCATAATTTATAACCCTGAAGCAACATCAAGAAGCTCCCTGAAGCTTATAACTCTGTGCCAATCAAGTTTTTTTTTTGAGAACCAATCAAAATTTGTTTCCTAATATGGAATCATTGATACCCAAGACTGTCTAGCTAGTGTTATGAAGATTTTGTTTCGTGATGTAAAGGAAGTGCTCCTTTAAAAATGTGTATATCAAAATTTAAATAGAATCAACAGGATTTTGTTTACATGTAAAGTTAATGGGAAAGTTAATGTTGAGGCATCGCCCTTGTTCAAGCTAGTGTAGCCGGAAAAAAACCAGGGGGCTACTGTCGTGGTAGGTGTCAGCAGAGAGCCCAGACCCAGACCTATCCGTGGGTGGGTGGCTGACTTGTTTTGTGTGAAAACCAGGGGGGTGGGGAGGGGAGATTTTCTCACTTTGATTCGAGTTTCATGCAAAGTCAGAGAATTTTTCCTGCGGGCTAGGCCAGCCAAATCAATGCGATGACTCATAATCATAACACTACTATCAGAGCTTGGGGGAAGTGATTGACTACTCATAAGCTTCATGGGTGGGGAGGGTGATTAGTTGCTCATTGGTCTTGGCTTTCTAGAGACTCAGTACAGGCACTTTCTATGAAATCCACACAGATATATATTGAAGTTAATTTTGTTGTAACAAAAAAAAAAATTAAAATTAACCGAATTAAAAAATTAACTGTGACATACATCATGTCAAGAGATATCATGTATATATCATTCTATCATGTAATTTTCGCTGCCCCCCTTCCCCTCTCCCCCCGACTCTATAAGAAACGCTGTGGTCGGGCAGGGCTTGTAATAAAAACATATGTTGTATTGTGTTTTTGTTTTTAAAATAAGGTGTTTTAAGTGTAAAAATATTGTCATAGAAAGAATGATAAAATGGATGTTTTTAACCATTTACATTGGGTAAACCAGTCATTTCACGTTATGTACTAATGGAAAATAGAACTCAGGCCTGTTGAATTTCGTTTACCAAGTCCCATTTACCGAGAATCGCCCCCAAAATGCTCATACATGTACTGCCATCAAAAATGTGTTGGAAGAAATGGGGCACGAATTTCCCTGTGGAACATTCCGGCCGGAAAGCACGACTACCTTTTCAGACATTCCGTTGCTCCCGGAAATTTTCCTTGTAAAAGTCCCCCAAAATCGTGTTCTTTTTACTTTCTAACCAGGATTTCCTGGAAGCTTTTTGTAAATCGTGAACGTGTTTTCTGCCAGGGTACGCTAGAAGACTTGCTTAGGAACAAAGGACCTTTGGAAGAACCTTTGGTGGTCAAGTTCACAAGACAACTTCTTTCTGCTGTTGATTTTCTCCACACGAATGGAAAAAAGCACATTGTACACAAAGATATAAAAGGTTAGGTTTGAAAACCTTTTGCCTCTTGTACACAAGCCTGAGTGGTTGAACGTTTTCGAAAACAGGTGTTTATGTAAACGGAGGTTTCTTCGTTTTCTAGGTTTGTTTAATTGGCAACAACGTAGAAAACGTTAGTTGTAAACGGGTCTATGTTCCTTTTAAGATGCGAAAATTCTAGTGTGGACACGGAACTTTTTATGTGGGCGTCGCTTAAATGTAGTAATCGAGATCGCTTGTTTTGATTCAAAGTTGCAATAGGCACGCAATACGTGCGAACGTAAACAAGCCAAGCGACATGAATGTCTGCCACGCGAACGACTCATACAAGGTAAAAATCATTCCGGAAAGAAAGCTCTGCCTGCAGGGTAGTTAATCCCACTTTTACGATCTCAAAAAACTTGCAGTAAATAAACAATTCCCAACAGTGTGGGGACAAAGAAATTAAAAGCGATGAACATCTGAAAGCAATGGAGGGTTAATTTTCAGACACCCCTATCGTATTCTCTCATGCACGAACCACGAAAGCGCCAAATTCCAAATGTGGTCGTAACTAGAGCTGGTCGCTTATGAGACTGGTCTTAAGAAGAGTTTCGACTGTACAACTGTAGACATAAAAGGCTTCACATACGCGTGGTACAACGACACCCAAATATACGCTCCCACAGCGTCTTGTTTAATGGGTTTCGTTAACATGAAAACGGAGGGTTTTCTAAACGCGCTAGTGTTACCACTAGTGTGGACATAACGTAAATGTTAATTGAATATATTGGATATTTTAGGCGCGAATATTTTGCTGGACGGCGCCCAGAAAAACATAAAACTGGCAGACTTCGGAATCTGTACAATAATGGAGGTAAGATCATGTCCTTTATGTGAGGTTTACATACTCTTTTTCACTGAAAAAGGGTATAGTACATACAGTAGAACCCAAGTAACTCGAACTCTGAAGAGAAACGAAAAACAGTTCGAGTTATCGGGTTAAGTTTCAGTGAAGTTTGGATTAAGGGAAAGGAAATTTAGTTCGAGTTAGCGGGGAATTGCCGAAGGAGTAAAAACGTCACGAAGTAATCGTCTGAAATTCAGGCTAGCGCGGAGTTCGAGGTTCTACTGTACACCAGGTGGCCTCAAATTAATCAACCCTCTGTCAAATTGCCAGCCTTGCATTCAGTTTTGTTTTAATTCCTACTGCAAGTGACGTCTGGCATTAGCATCTCTACATGAGAGATCCCGGCAAGAAAGAACCAGTCGGTTTTTTTACGCGTTAAGTGGACCTCTGTATTCAAGGGTTTTTATATACCGATCGCTTACGAGAGAGTGTTCATTCACGAGAGGTTTCAACCATGGTTATCTGACTGGGAAAATTTTGCTGTTTTTGATAGGTGGTCGCTTATGGGTAGTATATAGTCGCACATGGAGGTTCAACTGTACTCTTTTTATTGCTAGCCGCTCGCACTTTTAACATATTTTTTGTCGTCTGCCTGATGACTACCTGTTGATTTCTACAGGAACTAAGAACTGCTACCGGTGGCCTGGTGACTAAAAATAATGTAGCGTCCTTTCATTGGACAAGCCCTGAGCTTCTCGCTGCGGAAGAATTTAGTCGAAACACAGACATATGGTAAGCAGAATTCAACGGCTTTCGTGCTTGTGGTGGAATTGACTTCATGTCTTTGCATGAGTTTCAGGTCTGTAAATAATAACAGTACGCCACGCTATTACTGTAGAGAATAAGATCATCCTCTTCATACATTGATGCCTTGCTAATGACGGATTCCACGCATGCGAGTTTACGAGATGTTATATTTCACGAGCCCTTCAGTCAATTTTAGACTACCGTAAAATTCCAAAAATAAGCCCCTCCAAATATAAGACCCCCAAACCGGTAACGCAAAAAACCCTCCGTTAAATCGCCCCTCCAAATATAAGCCCCCCGGGGGCTTGTACTTGGAAAATTGCCCTCAAACACAAAGTAAAACAAAGCTAAAATGGTAAATTTTCTTCCAACTATAAGGCTAGCCCAATCGATTTTGAAACGCAAATATCCTCCCGTAGATAAGCCCCTCCGTATATAAGCCCCTCAAAAAGGGCCTTTGAAAAATATAAGCCCCGGGGCTTACTTTCGGAATTTTACGGTATGTTCTACACCGAACAGCTCTTGCGCCGACTCGAACACTATATCGGATAGGGCTTCTGTTCACGTGATTTCGGCGCGATTTTAACGGAGCGAAGCTGCACCGCGACGATCTTGAAAGTGGATTTTAACATATCGGATAGGTTTTGTGCCGCTCTTTGTCACAGTGTTGTCAGCTGTTTGGATCGTAGGAGTAGGAGAGAGAACTGGAACCCACTGAGACGGAAGGAAATATTCAGGATTGAGGACTGGAATTTAGTGCACCAAACCCTCGCGGTCAACAGCTCCGGAACGATGTTCAGTAGACCTGCACGGTTTTAAACCTCTTATTTCACTGGTCCCCTTTAATCTGCACTTCCACTGTTTTCAGGGATAGGGGCATTGTTATGTGACAATCCCTATTGTTTTCCCAGCTAATCAAAAACAATCTTTCAAATAGGTGTGGGATCGCCCACGATGTTCAAAGTGTGTGAACGACGTGTTCCTGTTCAGTGCTGTTGCTGTTCATTCTTTAGTAGAAACTTCTTTCCATGTTGGCATAACCTACAGGCTATCCTGTATAGGCTAGACATCGCGTCGAAAAGAATGAAACGGCTTTCTTCTCCGAAAGTTTGCTTCACTTCGAATTTGAGATTTCTTAAAGGGGCTGTGTCAAGGCAGTCCAGTTCATTTTGTTTAATTTTGCCAATTACTCGCCCTCAGTCGCTATGGAACTTAAAGTAAGCAAAGAAATTACATGTAAATGACAAAATCAGAGATACGAGACAAACAAATATGTCTCCTGAGCATTTAATTTTTATTTTTGAAGTTGCAAGCGGCAGGGATCAACTGTGAAAAACTGTTAGGCTGGACAGTTTTCAAAAACCCTAATTTCACTCCGTTTCAATCTTCTTCAGTTTTGCCCATCCGTGGCATCTGTTGTTTCTGTTATGTTATTTTAACCTTCCTTTAAAGTTTTAAGCGGTTATTTTTATGTTTCTCTTAATTTAACGGGCATTTTGTAATTCGCCCTATAATTGGCTGAGTTTCGTGACACAGGTCCTTTAAAGTTCTTGCATTGCTTTTAGGAGTGTTGGATGTACAGTAGTGGAGATGCTAACAACAAAGCCACCTTTATTCTCTGAACATCTGTCTGCAAGGCAAAAAATGTTCCGGATTATAAACCATATGATTGAACCACCGACTAATTGTACGTCCCTGGCGTATGGGTTTTTAAAACGGTGCCTTTGGTAAGTTCATTAATGACTTGCGTACCTAAAATAGCGGTTAGTTTAGTATTCTTTTGTTCATTTTAAAACCAGCCTCACTAACTTGAATTTGTTAAGATCAGAATTTAAGAGAATATCTTATCGTAAGTAAGGTTATTTGGGCTGATATAAGCGAAGAATATTAAGCTAGTCGCCGTTTTTGGAATGGGCCTATTCGTTACTTAGGGAGAGGTAGAGTCAAGATTGATTTTCTTCTGGCAGTATGGCTCTATGGCTCTCACAAATTTATGACTATTCTATTGAGATTTCTTAGCTGGAACGTCCCTTTTTGGAAAAAAAAAATGCACCGAGACCATCCATACTCTTTGTATTGTATCTTTTTGTATTTTAGGCCCTGTTTATATGAATAAAAGTTTACCCGGGAAAGAGGGTCACCCTTCCAGCCGAGTTAGCTTTTGCGAGCGTTTATATGAGAAAAAAGTCGACTCATTTGTCCAAGCCAAGAGCGCTCGCTCATACTGTGATTGTGCCGCCATTACATCCTCACATATCGTGTTTTTAACTTTTCTATTTAGTCCAAAGGAAACTCGCGCATCTGCTGCGGAGCTTTTGGCAGATCCTTATCTGAACTAAGAACAACAGTAATGGACGAAGGTTTCCGTCTGGTCACGTGGAGAGTGCCTGGACGCCACGTGCTTCCATTGAATAAAGAGAAGGAGTAGAGCGACATCCAGTAGATAAGTCCCTCGGGTCCTCGAGGAAGTCCTCCTTCCCAAGCGCCTTTGCGCGCGTCAATTTTCCTTTCGATGTTCCTTCGCAACAATAAACAAATTGCGAAAGGATACGAATCTGT